AAGATATATGATGAACCGGAATCGCACAATGAAGGGGCGTGTTTGAGATATATACATATAATGAGCCGGAAGTGTCAAAGGAACTGGGCGGGTTTAAGAGATATGTGATGAACCGAAATCTCATTGGATCCCTAAGTTGCCGGATCGTCATTAAAGCCCGGAATTGCCCCAACCCAAAACGAAATTCCTACGGGTTGAACCTTGAAGCGATAGATCCTTCAACAGTGCTATCACACTACACAGGGGCCACTCTGTCAAAATACCATACTCCTAGTAGAGAAACGAGCAAACACGAGGAAAACAAGAAAATACAACAGTAAGCAGAAAAATACAGAACTAACCTGGTGACCGCACCATAGACTCTGGGCTTTTAGCTTTCTTTTGCCGTAATGTTGACTTGATTCATGGCTTGTTGGCTCGAGGATAGTCTGGGGTTTCGTGGTGTCTTATATAAGATAAGTCTTAAGAGCTACAAGCAAGAGGCGGACCAGCAATCACACACTACTGGGTGTCGTGGCGTTACCATGATGCCGGTCCTGGCTTTTGAGCTAGCTGTTGTCGCTGGCATATATAAACCTTTCAATTGGATCTGTCCTGATCACTGATGAAGTCGTCACCATCCGCATGACCATCTCCAGAACCATCTGTAGCATCACAGCATCAATATCGTCTTCCGCAGCGTCATATCACAATTGGAACCTCAGGTTCACCCATAACTACGTGACTATCATTCCTATCATCACATTTGCCATCACTGTTGCTATGATCAGAACAGATTCTTCTTCAAGACCGTCAGCATCCTGAACAGCAATATCACGGCGTTGCCCGTCAAGAGCATTATCCCAATTACAACCAGCATCGGCTTCGCCAGTGTTAGCACTGGTCCGGGTGCTAGTGCTGCTGGTTGTTGCCTTGGTCTGTCTTATGTCCACTTGCCGCCGCAAGTATTTGTCAAACGTAAGAACGACAACATGGCCCCATGGCAAGACTTGTCTACAGTACCACTGTTTCTCTCACTTGCTGATTTGCAATGATTGCGAGAATCATCAAATCCTGACCACCACCAACACCAACAAGACCACCACGACCACAGCCACACCATATCGGACCGATTTGCACCTTCACGTCACTGTGTCATAACCATAGTCAGTGCGCTCGTGTTTTCCGTGCTGCTCACTGTCGCGGTTCCACATTTCGTTCTTGGTCCCTGGCCTCAGGTGCTGCGCCCATTCCGCCCAGAGCGATGCCTCGAGCGCGCAGCTCTTCCTGCGGCTTTCCTGTATTTCGCTACGTTCGTCCATCATCGGCGTTTGCAGATCCTCATGCCGAGGGTCGTGCATTAGAGAGGGTACAGATGCGCATACTTGCGGACGTTAATAAGAGGTTCATCAGATTGCGAAATTCACGTTCCAAACGAGGTTGCCCAAGGGGGCAAAAGCTGACGATCGCAACCCTCTGGTTGGCACTCGCCTCAGCATCGGAGCTTACATTTTTTCAGTAAGGGTTTCGTGCTGAAGGTCGGCGAATGAGATCACAGGATGCTAGTGTTCACTTGCCCGGCTTTGGCTGGTGAAAGCAGATTTCCAGATAGCGATGTTCAAAATCAAGGTCTTGCTGTCGTACGATAAAACGGATGCTGCTCTGTCGCAGTGTCGGGCACATTCAGAAGTAAAGGTCAATGATGTGGCCTGTTGTCCTCTGTGCCTAATTGCGACAGCCCAATTCTGTTAACTAGCTCAACGGCCCAAAACGGTTGCCTGGTCGAAGCGCTGGTTTTCATTGTAGCACCGGGATATACCTGGATGTGCATTCCGGTGGAGGATAGTGAGGGCAGCGGGGGCTGGCATTCAGGGACTCGTGGCGCTTCAATATACATCCTCAGCCGCATCAGCAACAGTGTTCACCTGGTGCAAAGTCAATGCGACATGCGCTTTTCGTGGCCCGTGTGGGTGCCACTTTCCTCGATTGTTCGCGGTTTCATGCATCTACGCTGCTTTCGGAGATGTTGAGTTTTGGACCTGCGTTTGATGTGGCCGGCGGCCTGCGTGAGAGGAAAAGTGAGAGGAAAACCACTTCTTCGGGAAGGACCCCTGAACAGAAGCTTCGTGTTTTGTGGGGTGGGGGCAACTGCCACCTCAAACAAATTGAGTTAACACACATGTTTCGACCGCGCAAAAACCTTGGAATGTTGCTGATGCTTTCGGCACTTGAACCAGGTGAAGCACCGCAAAAGCTGATGGAATCGGTTGGTCGATTTTGTGCAGTTACGGGGTGATCCCGCCAACACCTACAATGACTACAAAACTTACAAAACCAGGAGCAGCACCATCACCGCAGCAGCAGCGACCACCACCAACAAGAAGAAAAATAAGAACAACAACAACAACAAGGATGGCAACAGCGGCAGCGGCAGCAGCAGCAGCAGCTGTAGCAGCAGCAAGAGCAGCAAGGGCAACAACAACAAAGATGACATGCCCGCAGCAGATCAATAGTCAAGACTAAAGTCAGTTGACTCGTCCTATTGCGCAAACGGATCGTTGGGTTTGCCAGCTCTCGGTCCTTTGTAAAGGCAGGTTGGCCATGAGCAGCAAGGATGTGCTTGGCTCGGGAATGCTATGCTGCTATGCATTCCCACGGACGAGTCCTGCTAGCTTACCTCAACCAGGTATTTACCTCAACGATTCGCTACTGCTCTTCCTGCATGTGTTTTATATACCTCCGCATAGTGCTCCCTGATCTGATTATTTCGTTCAACAATGATTGTAACAATCTGCTCAGATTTGCTTGATGTCCTGCTGGGTGCTCTGGAGGACCGCACGAGCATCGGGTTTCCGAGCTTCAGGTTCAGGATTGGTATGCAAAGAAGTTTGCGGGACCTGCTAGATTCTAGATTGCAGTGAACGTAGGCACACAGTGACAAAGCATTGTGGACAATTCTCTACAGCATCTGTTCCCTTTCTCAATGCCATGCTCCAATAGTCCTCCCAAGGGAGCAGGGCGAATCGATGTTGGGAGTTACCGGCAACTGCATTCTGAAGGACAGGATGGCAACATGAGAAGATCGCTTCCAAAGGCTACATCGCAAAGGGGTTTAGGGTTGCTTTTTCCGACAGCACGAAGGTTTGCTTGCTCCCCCACTTGCAGCAGGAACAGCTTACAGCAAGTTGTGCGAATGCAATCAGACTGTGTGACTATACTTGTAGCTACATGCATGTAGATGGGTTTCTGCAGTTGCCCGTAGCTATGTGTAGAGGTCCGTGTCATATGCGTTCAGGTGCATTTATCGTCACTGCTTGCATGTATGCATGTACGCAGGCATGTGTTTGTGGGTGTGCATGTGAATACGGTATGCGCATCTGCGCAACGATCGTTCGCATGTCTTTGCTGCACAGCTTACTTGAATGCGATTGTTGAACACATATGGTCCTTGTTTCGTGATGTTGACACTGTACTATGCTGTCTGATTTTGCCTCATCATGGCCAGCTGTTACCCTATACTGTTGTCTAATGTTGGCTGGTTTAGTGTTTTACAACGTTGTCCGAGCTCATTTTTATCGGCGATGACGACCGCGACGACGACGGCCACGACCGCCACCACCACCACCTCCGCTTCTAAAACGATTGCTACGACTACCACTGCTGCTGCAACCACCACCACATTAATGCCAGTGAGGCCGACTTCTTCCGATTTAAATACGGCTGTTGTTGCTTTCGTCGTCGTCATCAGCATCATCACAACTGTCATCTGAATCGTCATGATCTTCATCGTCATCGTCGTCATCATCAGCATCGTCACCATCATTGGTGTCGTTATAGTCGTCTTGCTCTGTTTCACAACACCCACTGCCCTTAGCAGTGTGGACATCAGTGGGTGTTCTTGGGAAGTCGGTCAGCTGTGCGGCCACTGCTACGGTGATCGTGTTGGTGCATGAGCTCTATGCAAATTCATGTATGTATGCAAGCATGCATACATGCATGTGAATGTGTATATATATATATGTATATATATATATGTGCGTACGTTTGTGTGTAGGTATGTTTGCACGTCTGTCCGTCTGCCCGTGTGCCTGTCTGTCTGTCTGCCTGTCTGCCTGCATGTATGCAACAATGTAAGAATGCATGTATGTGTGTATGTACATGCACATGTTTTAGAAGCGCGCACACACACACATACACACACCCTCGCGCGCATTTGCACAAGTACAGTTGCTTGTCCAGGTACCTCGGTCCGAACTAGACCTTTGGCCACCTATGTCAATTTGGGCGATCCTTCGTCGCAGATGGGCCAGGGGTTTCCTCCGACCGACTCGCTGGTAGGTGAGACAGCAGGGCGACAAAGGTCTGTCGGGACTGTTCTGAATCCCACCCTAAAGGTTTTGCCATTGTATAGGAGCTTCATGAAACGGCTGCTGCACAGTGTCTGCACTTCGCCCTAAAGCGTACACGCAGAACTCCTGTTATCGGTAGCCAAACGCAGGTCCCATATGTTGGTCGGGCTATTTCGAAGTCCTGCAAGTGACCTCGACACAGGTGTCAAGATCGGCATTGCTTCTAGTACGCGAACTGTTAGCCTCAATGGTCGGGAGACGATCATACTGTGTGTTGCATCATTTCCGTTTAGGACCCTGACGATGGCGAAGAAGAAGAGGCAGAGAGTGAAGGCAAGGAGAGAAACCTGAAGAACAAGGAGGAGGCAGGGTGCCCTTGGCATGTGGGAAGCTCAGTACAAAGTTAGTGTTGTACGATTATCACGCGTCGTTCTTCTGCCTCGTGGTGGATTTCAGTTTTTCGCACACAGACTTGCCAGGCCTTGCCTTGCAGGCCCTCGATTTTCAGAGCAATATACTGCATCGCAGGCTTGAGTGGAGCATACTCAAAGAAGTCTGTGTAGATTTCGTTCGCTGACAGAGCTTCACATCCGAGAGGAACCACGACTGCAAGCGGTGCAGGTCAAACCGCCCGGTGCCGACAAGGTCGAAGAAGAGGATGACTTGCCAGACGAGGCGCTCTGCCTTTGGAGACCCAAGCCTTCAATTCGTGCCAACCCTTACTGCACCATGCTGGTTCGAGCAGAGGATGTTGTCAGAAGGCGCATTATAGTTGGCAAGAGAGTTCGCATTCAAAAGTTTGCGGCCCTTGTTGGAAGAGTTTCGGACGAAGGTGGCGAAGCCGGCAGCTGGCCCAGAGCACCCCGGCTTGCGACGTGACATCCATCCACCTGGGGGCGTTGCTCAGGAACTGAGGCTCCTGTATTTCTGGGACATCGCTTGTGTAACTCGGGGCAGGGTGGCTGCAGACAGTTTGGGACAGGACCATTTTGCGATTATGGTTACGAGCGTCGCCCTTATTCTTCATATCTGTTTTGGAGATATCTTCAAGAAAGACCTTTGGAAACGATCATCCCTTGTGCCCGAGTCCTGGAAGCCTGAACCAAGCCGCGCAGCCTTCTTGTTTTGGGGCTTTCAGGCTTTGAGGTTTAGATTCTTGGTGGCTCGAAGCGCTGAGTGGTTGAAACCCGGTTTGCAAGGCTTGGGCCCAACAGGGTTGTGGCAACGAATTCCAGAGAATTGGTTTCTTCCTAAGCTTAACTACCGATTGTCCGAGGGCACCTTTAAGGCGCTGCTGACTGGGTCTCTTGCCTCCGTTGTTTCCTGAACATCGCATTCTAGAACTTAAGACCCTGAAGCTTCAAGTCTGAAACCTCTACCAATCATCCCGAAGTCCCACACAGTGAGGCCCTACAAACGCTGAGCCCCTGAAGGCCCTCTATCGTCTTCGGCCCAGAAGCAGCGACCCAGGTGCCACCTCTTCACACTCTGGGAGTACCCCAGCGGTGCACCGACTTATGCTCCTTGACGATGGAATCAGTTCATTGGAAGATCTTTCTGGCAGGGGACTGCGGAAACAAAAAATGAGGGCCGCTCGGCTCCTCAACATCCGGATTCCTAGGTTAACGGTTAGCAACCCGAGCCTTGGCACAACCGGTATGAAGAGCCTTCTAACAACCGTTGTCACACCTCTTAATCTCGATCGCAAACACCAAAGATTAATTTTCTCGGCTAAGCCCATGTGTTCGAAACCCGCTGATTCTCCGAGTCTTCGTTGGGATCCGCAACAATTGCAAGGGCTTTCCAGACGCGGGATCAACCTTCCGAAAACGTCTTAGAGCCACTGCGGCTGCAGGTGTACACGGACTTTGGTGGGCAGTTGATTTGAGGGTTGTTGGTTAAAGACAGTGCAGATAAAGCAGTGTGATGCTGGTCGTCAGATTCTTCTACAACTACTCCAAGAAAAAGCCCTCACCCCAAGTCCGAAACGCAGTGCCGAAGTCTCAATCGCTGACCCAAGCGGCTCGACTCCTGGACCGTCCTCGGCCTTCCAAGCATAGGTCCGCCTGAATATTGAGTCCTGGCGCCGCCACTCCCATGGCCGCTGCGGTCTACTCAGTCCGACTCTGGATGCGTTCAGCACTTTCTGTAGATTGTCATGATGCTTCTTCGGATGACATCGTTGTAATTGGTGGCAGCACCTAGGAATGGTTGACAATATTGGCGAGATTTAATGGTTCGGAGTCGTACATGATAACAGACGTCCTTATCCTCCTCAAGATTAACAAGACAAGAACACTAGTCATTCTAATGACTAGCAACAGTAAGGCGATCATAGTTAAGCCTTTGAGGACTTAGTAGTTAGGTAGTAGAAATTGCTTCTGACTTCGAACACCATGAAATCTGCAGATCAGCCTTGCCACGAATTGGACTGGGAATAGAAAAGAAGCCGTGCTTCCGGGGTATCGCCCAAAACCCAACCTACACCCTGAGAAAAGTCTGCACAACACCCGAGCAGGTGGAGAGCCGATCTTCCTGAATGAGAAGAACCTCCGGGAGTACATCCCCGATCTGCCGGAGGAAGGGGGCCTCCAGCTTTAAGGCTTCGCATGTAAAGTTCGAGCCGGCAGGTCGAATTTCAATGTTTCGGCTAGATTGAACTTAGGGAGGGTTCAGGGCTTCAGGTTTCGCCGAACCAGACCAGGCCAGACTAGGTTGAAGGTTTTCCGGACGGATTTGGCAACCACCAGAATAAGGGCCACCTGCTCCACCGTCTCCTCATCATCATAATCATCATCCTTGTCATGGCTCATACCATTACCATCCGTCGTGATTGTGGTCGCATCAGCACCAGCACCGCTACGACCCCTGGTGCGTCGCATCTGGTTAGACGCGGAGCCTCGCTTTGGAATCACTGAGAATTCAGTTTCGCTGAGTTCCAATATCCAAGCGGCCATTCCTCGACTTTGTCAGGTGGCGTGCAATGCATCCTCTTGTTTCCAATTCCGCCATGTCTGTCACATCAAAATGATACATGAGTCTATTCGTGGTTTCACGGTGCATCTTGCGTAAGTCGCTGTCTTACCTCGGCAGCAATCTTACCTCGGCAGCAATTCAACCACCTTGTGACGCCTGTCACTTGGACCGACTCTTTCGAGCATTCCTGCTTGGAGCCTGTGAGCCATTTCCTTCAGACCTCTTCCAAGACCCTGCGCCCTGAGTTCAAAACTCACAAAACCTCAATTCCAGCCTAGGAGCAGCAGTTCTGTCAGTGACATCCCAGAACCCCAGGATGAACTCCGAACACTGCCCTTGTTCAGGAGTACTTCAAGCTCCCATACCAGGCTTGCAAGTCTGATGTGGCAACAGGCCCAGAGGTATTGCAGCTGCTCATGAAGTAGTCTACTCTGTTCTCTTGCAGATGGATGAATTAAAAGAAAAGCAATCATTGGTTATTTGTTACAAGTTCATACGGAACAAAAGTACTATACGTTTATGACGAATTGCAGCGCCTGCTAATTTGCCACGGAACTTTTGCCAAATGAGGTCCGGTATGCCGTTATCTACCATCATGGTGGCATCTACATGGACACGGACTTCCTCGTGGTGCAGGATGCTTGCACCCTGCTGAGGTAATTCGGCAGATGGCAGCCATTGTACACTTGCTTCTTGTTGGTATTGTTCTTGTCTTAGGTTCTTCTCGCGTCATGCACTCCGCTCACTCCAGCTGCCTTCCGCTGACGAGCACAGCAGCTCCTGCATGTTCAACCCGCACAAAGCCCGCAGCGACAAGAAGCGGGCATGGAAAAGCTCTGTGCTCACATTCCTGTTTTCGTGGCTTGTCAGAGCTTCTTGCAGGATTTGGATCCTGTCATCGATGTGCTCAACATGGACTTGGTTTCATACTCTGGAAGCAATCCTAGAGGATCGCTCCCTGACTCCGTGAGTGTTTCCCACAGGTGGCTTACATACAAGTGAAGGTACGATAGCAAGAATGCAGCATGGCCGCCCAAGCATGGCATTGCGGGTTCCAGGTCGAGGATGAGCAAGGCTTTCATGCTGGAGTTCGGGGATTAAAGCAGACAATACATCGAGGGTGAAACACCCAGGCTCTGGAGGGGAGGTTTGTAGGATTTAGTCTTCTCAACAGAACGAGCTCGCTTTCAATGGCTATAGTTTATAGTGTTTTTTGGTGGGCTAGAGAGTCTGTCTTGCGGCCGCTTATTAGACACGGGAGATTCAGAGAGACGAGTCGGGCGGCGTGTGTTAAAATGATTACAAGACAAAGCCTCAACTCTGAATGGGCTGCTTCAGTGAGATGCACAGATGCCGAGCCGCTTAGGCAAGGTTTGATTTCCTTTCGTGACCTTACAGTAGAGGATTCCTTTCTCTGAAAATTCCATTCGGCGGCCCGTGGAGGCAAGGAGTGTCCCGCTTCCTTCAGCTCGAACTTCCTCGGCGGTCGAAAGGGGAGCCGCTTTCACAAAGCGCCTCTTGGCATGCACAAGTGGCGGCGCAGTGTGCAAGTATCGAACAATGATGTTCCGTTTAGGGTGGGTAGTAAGAACAGGTGGCGGTTAGCCGGCACCACCCACACACACACAGAGCAATTCCACCCAAGCTCACCAGACAAGGGATGGAGGGATGGCGGTAACGTTTTCCTACAGACCACTGAGAGACTAAAGGAAGATAGGCAGACAGACGAAGCGAGATACATGAATCACAGCACAATACACGGGGAACCTGTTTATCCATCTCTCCATTTGTCTATCTATATGTCTTGTTATCCATCTATCACATCCGTTTTCTATCAGTCTGAGTCTCTCTCTCTCTCTCTCCCTCTGTCCCACTGCCTCTCTCTCCTTATCTCGCTTTCTCTCTGCAAAATGTTTCAGACTTCGCATGTGCAGATAGGGATAGAGGCAGGCAGGCAGCTAGATCGGCAGACGTATGCGCCATCATACGCGCAGTGATGCAGATCGTCATGCAAACAGATAGGTCGATAATACAGGGGTTTGGCAGGTTGTAGATAGCAGCGCGCACATACAAGCCCCTGCAGACGCATGTGTCTGCCGGTTGGTCTTTCTGCCTGTCAGTCTGTTTGTCTGTCTGCCTGTCTATCCGTTTGCTTGTCCCTTTGTCCGAATGTTCTGTCTGGCTGTCTGTCCGGTGTGCCTGCCCACCTGCTTGGCTGCCCCTCTGTGACTTGGCCTGTATGTGTGCATGCATGCATGCACGCCGTCATGCATGAGAATTCAGCAATCTGTTGTGCGTGTATGTATGCATGCATGCATGCATAGATATGTATGTGTGTAACTGTGTAACTATACGTCAGTAAGTATGTATGTATGCATGCATGTATGTATGTATCTATCTATGCATGGACGTATGCATTTGCATATGCAGGTGTAGGAGTATGTGTATGTATGAAGTATTAGTATGATTATGAGGGTGCATATGCATATGCATGTAGCATATGCAAAAGCAATCATTGATACGCATATTATGCTGTCTGTCTGTCTGTCTGTCTGCCTGCCTGTCTGTCTGTCTGTCTCTGTCTGTATGCCTGTGTGTCTGCATATGAATAAGCATATTATACATATGCATATACATATATCTACAGATGTATATATACAAATGTATAGATAGATAGATTCATTGATACATAGATAGATAGATGTCTGCGTAGGTATATGAGACAAACGCACATATGTATGTGTGTATGTATGTCTGTCCGTATGTCTGTATGTATGTTTGTATGTATGGATGGGTGCACACAGTGTATATTCACCTGCCGAATTTTCGCTGCAAACGAATGTATTGCTACATGCGGGCGGATGGACCGGCAGAGCAAACGTGCAACAAGACGGACACAGACACCCATGCAATCATAGCTTTTCTTTACACACCCAGAGCACTGGTGTTTATGTCTCGGATCCGTGTTGCTCACATTCGTTTTTCCCCTCCCATCGGCTTTTTGTCTTGCATGCATCTTTGCTGGCATTAGCTGCTTTTGCAACTCAGGGTCTACGATGCTGGGACCTGAGCCGACAGTCCAACTTGCCATGTAGCGATGAGCATTGTTTCTGTTGGCCTCACGTCACGGCAAAACCAGGATTGATGGTGTCGGATTTCGAATTCAGAAGCGGATGTTCGTGAAGCACGAACCAGGCACAGATCGAGAAGATGCGAAACTTCTGCCCGGTCTCTGAGAAGGCCACCACGCCTGTGCTAGAGGATGCGGCCACTTCCTTGGATAGCCCAGCAAGTTCACAGATACGTCGCAGGTAGGCTCGCACAGCTGACTGCGACACTAGACTAGACTATGCATGTGGCATTTCGTGCATGTTCCACGCGAACTACTCGCCTCGTTTACTGGCTAAGCCTAGAAAAGCATCCTTGGATATGCTTTGTGCGGAACTTGAAGATGGTCATGACATGTCATGACGATGATGGAATTGTCGTTATGACTGTAGTGATCGTAACCTTTTGCTTGACTAACTCTTCCAGTCGCAGTGCTGCCGTGACTTCCACAAGGATGGTAGTGAGTAGAAGCTGCCGGGGGTGTCCGTGGTTGCCGCCGTTGAGCTGTGATCGCCGGTCACTGATCTTGCGTGGTGATCGCCAGGGCAAGCTCGTGAATGGGAAGGAGCGGTTCTGCTGCTTTGAGGAGAAGGGTGCCGCCGGGTAGCAAGGAAGCCGACTTTCCGTTTATCCTTACAGATGCAGCAGAACAACTTAGGAAATTCTGACTTATACTTCGGGTATGCAGGACTTGCCAAGGAAGAATGAGCAGCAGCTCTGTCTGGCTTTTCCTGTCCAGCTGCAGCGGAAGGTCCTGTGCGATGTGCCATGGGCTTCCATCGGGGAGGGCGTTTCCCACGATGTCCTCAAAAGGCCGGGCACAGCACGGGAGTTGGTCCAGATGGAGTCTTCTTCAGGTTGATACAAAGATGTCCCATAAGCGATGATGTTGCCTTGACTTTAGAATACTCGAACACTCAGTGTGATGACAGTCCGTGCATGTCATTCAACTGTATTCCTAGATCAATCTATTGCTCTGATTGCAGGCGTGACTGGGTAGCGTGGTTTTGAGTAGAGCCCTGCCCGCTGTTCGCAAAACTCTGCAAGAAGCCGGAAGCATGGCATATTGATCCCGGGTTTGGGTTCCTATGATCATCCCAAAACTGGCTTTGGCTGTCTTGGGATTTATCACTCTGTTGCTGGGGTGAGCCTGGCCGTAGTCTACAAGAAAACCATGGCATACTCGCAATCCTTTCTGTGCAGGCTCAATGCTGGGCCGGACCGCATCACTTCCCGCTGCTTTGCCGGAGACGATTCGTTCGTTCCTAACGACATGGAAGGGGTGCTGCTGACCCCTGGCCGCAAGCTGTCCTAGGAAGTTGACATCCAAAGTTGCTATCCCGTACCCTTGGCTGAAGTCCTTTTCCTAAGACACCCCAAATGGCAGCAAAGACATCGAGCAATTGCGCACCCCAGGGTGTTCTGTGGGAAGAGAGGATGCCCAGAAGGGAGTGGGGAGCAACCGAACGGCTGAGTCAATGAGAGGTGAACGACGTGGAAATAACCTCACGCCACGTGCACATTGCACAAGAAAGGCAGCTAATGTCCATGGCTCGACACAGTGCATAGCAGTCCTTCACTCCTTCACCATGAAGTCGCTGAATCCAGCTAAAGCCTGGCCCAAACCTGCCACAACAAGTAGAAAGGTAATGAATTGTGATGTTAATGCCTAAAACTCGAAATCGAATGGTGATAGCAAGAACAGTCCCCCCGCGAAATAAGTTCGCCGCCACGCAAAGGCATGCGCCGCTGATCGACGACGCTCATCGGAGGTTCGGCAGACAGGGTGTCGGACACTGAGTTGTTGGAGTGTGGGGCCATCTGGCTGTGGGGTAGTATTGCTGCTAATGCCATTGTGCATGGCACGCGCATTGCCTGTCGGCCTGTCAGTCATTACTCGTGCCTCTTGCAGGGCTTATGCTTGCCGGCAGAGGCTTTTTTGTGCGAATTTTGTTGGCATCGGCAGCAGTGGTCTGTAAGCAGCTTCAGCAAGGCTTCCACGATGACGATGACGACGGCCATCACCACCACGACGATGCCGACGACAACCAACCAACCAACCACTACCCACCACGACGATCGCCGTAATATCATAAAGCACAACAAAAGCCTGAGCACCGCTGCTGCTGCTGCTGCTGCTACTACCACTACTACTACTACTACTACTACTACTACTGCTATTGCTATTGCTACTGCTACTGCTATTCCTACTGCTACTGCTACTGCTACTGCTACTGCTACTGCTGCTTCTTCCCCACCCAGCAAAGACAGGTCTCTGCTAAGCGAACGTACTGGGGCGGGGTCGTCACCCTGGCGCCATCAGCACAATCCCACTTTAGGATTCCGAGGTGGATCTGTGTCGCCCTGCCCAAAGGCCCCTTCAGCGAGGACACGGAAACCAGCAGTTTACTGCGGTACAGTCAACACACGCTTGCACAGCTAAGTTCAGCCCGGTTCTGCACCACAAACAGCTTGACATTCTAATTATGGCATCTCTGGCATATCCGGGCAGTGCTTATACACAAAGGCATAACAGTTGCTTTGGATGTGCTGAGCAAGGATGAAATGCCCTGGGATCATATAGCACCGCCCTATAATGCCCAGCCAACAGCCGGCGTCCTTCATGTAGAAGGGTGGCCCGCCCTACAGGATCTCCCAGACTGCAATTCCAGCGTGTGCATGATTCAGGGGATGCACAAAAGCGGGGATCATGATGTAAGGTTCAGGCTCTACTCTAAGGAAAACCTGAGTCCTCCGTCCCAGACCAACCTGGGCCGTACACCATAGGTCTACAAGCGTTTGGAGGGAAGTGGTTCGGATTGCTGAGCCACCAACATGGGCAGCGAGACTGGGACAGACAAAGGGGAGGTATGGCCCTCTTCAGGAGGCGATGCTCGCCACTGTTCCACTCCAGATATGGAACATTACACTGCTCGTCGAGGATCAGCATGTCCTTGGCCTGTTGCACCGTTTGCTGCAGCGGCACTGTCCGGCCGACTCTCACACATGCCGTCCTCATCAGAACTGCTAAAGCTCTCGTAGCTTTCCTGCACCGACGACGAAGAGGAGCCAGGCAAGGAGCGTGGCATGCCCCGGCTCGAAAGCCCCACAAGCAGGCAGCCACAGGCCAGCTCAAAAAGACACCAAATAGAAAAAGGCCACAGGCCGTGCAGCAGTCGTGAGCATTCACAGTCGAGGCCCCAAAACGGAAGCTGGCCTTCGGGCCGAGACATTCGCTACTACTGCTGCTGCTGCTGCTGCTGCTACTCGGCGGGTACTGGTACCTGGTACTGGCTCTGGTGGTGGTACTGTTGCTGTTACTGGTACTGGTATTCGTAATTACTCGTACTAGCTAGTGCTAGTAGGACCAGTAACCAGTACTACTACGACGACGACTACTGCTGCTGCTGCCGCGGCCGCTGCTGCTGCTGCTGCTGCGATTGGCACTAGGACTAGTACCAGTACTGCTCGTACCCGCACTCGTACTAGTACTTGTGTACTGGTGGGAGCAGTGGCCGTCGTCATCTCAGCCCTTGCGCCATAGCTTCAGCTGAGGTTCAGAAACCTTTGGATCGAATCGCGCATCGGGGCAGCTTTTGAATCTGCGGACCGAGTTGGTTCTGGATTAGGGGCAGAGTGGAGGTTTGGGAGGCCAAGGGCTGGGTCACTGAGGATTAATTGGATATGTCTGTGTACACCCACGACTCATGATCAGCCGCCTGAAACCATGCAAGTTGCACGCTGGCGACTGGGGTTCTGGTTCCGAGGTACTTAGGATTCATGCACTGAGGTCTGTGCTTGGACCAGGTTCAGAGGGTTCCATACGTTGGATGACAGACGCCCATATGTGTCGGATTTGGCTGGAGTCAGGGTTCTTCCTTCAGGCCAGGTTCCTGTGGTGTGGCGTCGCAGAAGGCAGACCATCGGAACTGTAAGCCCTGCTGAAAACCCAGAAACTTTCAAGCCAAACATTACAGTCCTCAGTGCTAAGCGCAGGGTGCTCCGATGCCTGAGGTATCACCTTTTCAACTCGCCGGGGTCCCAGAGTTGGTCTCGTCGCCGACTGAGAGGCAGTCTTCAAATTGATATTCATATTTCAGGGTATGCAGGCAGAGCAAATGATTACGCCGCAGATGTGCGCATGGATAGGAGACAGATAGTGCACAGCACCGCAGAGAACTACGGATATAACAACCGATAGACATGCAGGCAGGCAGAAAGATTGAACGAGAAGCACATGTACGCCTATGTGGCTGCCAGCTTGTGGCATTGCCCGCAACCATTATCTTCCGACCCTTACAGCATCGAGCTAGGGCTCGGGATTTAGATTGTTTCGGCGTTCGGTTTCAAGGGCCTGACACAACAATCTCTGAACCCTCAGAACCAAACCTCAAATTTGGCAATCAAGAATGTCAACCTCGCAAACAGCAGTCGTATGAGTAGTTCGTTGCTCGAGTTAGTGTTGATAGCCAGAGTAAATGCATTTGTAATGTTATGTCTGTGATGACCATCCAAGGCATATCATTTTCAACACATAGAAAGAAGGAGCATGTAGCGCTACCATGAGGATGACCTCTCTGCAGTCCTGGTCCTGCAAGCGCCTCTCCAGCAACACCACCTTGGTCAGCGCACTCTACCTCAGGCGACAATTTCCTTTTTGGGGGTAGGGGAGTTGAGGGTATGAGGCGTTTCAGAGTAGAGGATAGGGCTTCAGGTCTGTGCCTTGGGGTCTACAGCTTGGAGTTCAGCTACCTCACGAATTCCAGAAAGGAAGTGCAAGCACACCAAGCCCCACACTGCTCGACCCGAAGCCCTGGCTGAACGGTACCCGAATTTCATCTCAAGCATGTAACGCGGCCGAGATTGCATTGTTTGTTTGACATGTGGCGATAGCTGAAATTGCGTCGTTCATGCGAATTGAGCTTCCTGCTTGCAAGTTTCCTTGCAAGTGTTCATCATTCAGAATAGTCTTTTTGAAAGTCTGTCGAGGGACTCAGTGTGCGCGAGTGGCTCACTGCACGAGGTTGGAAGTGAAGTTGGGGTGCTTCTCCTCACCAAGCTCCCCAAGCGTCATTGCCCCTTCCGTTGGCAAACGCCCTCATTGCAAAAAGGTGAGGTTGGAATCACACAAAAAACACGGCAACCCTTTGCGGCGAGGCACAACTAGGCTTGGACCGGGCGAAAGCCTGAGCCCCTTGAAGGCCCCCAGCTCTTCCAAAAACAGATCCAGTGTCCACGAAGGAGCTTCACTACCGGGGCTGGATCCCGGCTGCCTGGATGCATGACGGGATGAAAGCTTGGAGCTTTCGAGTCGCACCTCCTGTAGTCTCAGAGTCTGTCAGATCCTGGTCTGTGGTTGCGCGTGGAATCCCGCACGACTTTTCGTGCTCGTCGCATTCGGGGTTTCTATGGTTGTAAGGCAGGTTTGCCCTCACTCAGATCCACTGCGCCCACTGCACCTGTAGATAACTGTAGATTCGTCAACATTTGCAGAATCCTTCCCGCCTGGGCACGTGCGGGATTAGAAGTTCTTGCTGTGCGACCTTCGGATCATGGGACGCTATTTCAAAATTCGCATTCCTTGTAATTACTGATCCAATTTATAGAATGTTATTGCATGCAGGGTAGGGCGCACTCCTCAACTTTGGTCTAAGCTTAGTTCAAATTCCAACAGTTGGTTCCACAGAGTTGTCGGCTCGTAAGGGCCATGGACCACTTCTGAACACGTTCTGGTGGGAGGCTTCAGTGCCGAGTGCTGAATCGTTTAACCCACAGGATCGCAAAGCATAAAGTTGAACAGCTCCATATGAACAGCCAATCAGCCACGATCACATGACCTCCTCTTTCACATGCCCCAAGCCTCCAGCCCACATTGCTCGACACCTGAGTATGAAATCTTGGAAGCTTCAAATCCTGAGCATGAAGAAGCCCAGATCTAGGATCGTCACCGGTCTGGAAGCTTCCGACTTCCTACGAGTGAATGCGGACTTTCGCGAGCACAGCAGGCCGAAACTCTACTTGTGGTACGTGGCATGTGCTGCAGTACAGACCACAGGTGAACATTGCAACGATCACAGTGGTATTCTTCTTGTGGCTAGAAGTCCCTTACTTCTGCCTTCATTACATCCAAGAAGCCTGGCTTCAGCAAGGGGGTTGACACCCCAGCAAAATCAATTGGAATGAGTTGCAGAGTTGCATTTAGGATTCTTGCTTCGAAGATAGCTGCAAGATTGCTTCCTGCAAAACGCCGCTGATGCATACATGTCCTGCCAGACCCTTGGTGGGGGGAA